CTGCAGGGGGGGGGGGGCATGGTGAGCACTCCAGGGATGTGAGGGACAAAGGTATGCAGAAATAACCCATGTCAGAGAGGGACTAGCCGGGTGCTGGGGGGCAGGGCAAGCTTGGCAGAGTAATAAGATACTGGGTGGAGCCCTAATCTGTTTGACTCAGTGGATAGAAAGAGCGTCAGCCTGCGGACTGAAGGGTTCCAGTTTCGATTCTGGTCAAGAGCACGTACATTGGTTGCAGGCACATTCCCAGTGTGCAGGAGACAGCTGATAAATACTTTTCTCTTGTTGATGTTTATAACTCTCTATCCCTCTCCCTTGCTCTCTGAAAAAAAAAAAATCAATAAAATATATTTTAAAAAGAAAAAAAAAGATACTAGGTAGAGAAACAAACAAGACAAATGTTTCTTGTGGCTTTTGGGCCATTCAGCTTCTTCCTTCCAACCACGTGTTTACGTATGAGTGAGTCGGCAATTTCTCATCTGGAGGAACACCTACAAAGAATCTCCATCAGAGAACCGATCAACCAATGCATCTATTTGCAGACAGCAGTTCTCTACCCATTATCAATGATGGGGGTGTGGGTGGGTGGGGAAAAACCCTACTTTGAATGTTTATTATGTGCCAGGCAGTGTCCTAAGCACTATGCAAGCATGCATCAATCGAATATAAAGGTCCCCTGAGGTAAGGACTAGTATTGAAGAACTATATTATTCCCATTCTAAGAGGAAACAAAAATGCCCAATTAACAAGTGTTAGAGCTTGGATGAGACCACAGGCCTGCTAACATCAAAGTCTATGTATTTGACTACATTTTAGACTTTCTTTCCCAAAAAATAAATTATAAGGAGGAGCTGCCGAAACAGAATCCCAGGGTGGATGCTCAAGGTACACATGAATAAGAACCAAGCAATGGTTTCATGTGCTAGCTACCGTTGGATATAAATTAATAAGTAAAAAAAAAAAAAAAGAAAAAAAATCTAATTCTTGCTACTGTATAAAGAAGGTCAAGAGTAAGAAAAAGGATAGACTTGTAAGAGACGGCTACAGCTGCAGGTCTTCTCATTGAAATGCTAAAGCGATGCCCCACCGCTCACTAATTTGTTCCTGAAACTCAGCCCCCTCCAGGCTGTCCTGGTCAGAAGCTGGGAATCAACCCAACCTCCCAAAGATGCATCCATGTGGAGTTTAATGCAGCCTCTTGAGCATGATGAGTTTCTATGCAGCTTTAAAACCGTATAGTCTTGTCCAATTCATTCTGCCTATCCATGCCAGATGGATAGTTTAAAAACCAATGCCCTAATCATGACTCTTCCTACCTCTAACCCTATGGTCTCCACTGCAGACTGGAAAATTCCACAAGCCTGGCATTAAAACACTCATCTGGCTTCCTCCACCGTCCCAGCCTTTCCTTCCACTTCCAATGTCTCCCCCACCGCCCCATCCTTGCCTCTGCCACATGGATCAACTTCACATCCTTTGTGAAGCCCTTGAAACTTGCCCTGCTTTGACTCCTACTCCAGTTTCTTCCCCACCAGGATACTACCCCCCCTTTAAAAAAAAAAAAAAAAAAATATATATATATATATATATATATTTTTTTTTTATTGATTTCAGAGAGGAAGGAAGAGGGAGAGAGAGATGGAAACATCAATGATGAGAATCACTGATTGGCTGCCTCCTCCATGCTCTGGATCAAGCCCACAATCCGGGCATGTGCCCTTGACCGGACTCAAACCTGGGACCCTTCAGTCCACAGGCTGATGCTCTATCCACTGAGCCAAACCAGCTAGGCCCCCCCAACCCCACCTCTTTTTTAAGATTTCTCAATCTTACCTCCTTAAAGAAGCATTCCCCAACCAGATCTGGTAGCCATCCTGGAGACCTTGCTGGTCTTCAAATACCAGTATGCCAAGCACACTCCTGGCTTAAGGCCTTTAGTCATTCTCTTATTGTGTCTAACATGTTCTTCCCCCGGATGTTCAAATGGTCCAAGTCCTTGCTTCCTTTGCTCAGACGGCACAGACCAGAGAAGCTTCCTGACCTCCCACCGCTCCTATGTCCTTGTCTTACTTGATTTCTCTCTGGAGCATTTATCCCTGACCTGCGATAGCCATGTAGCTCATTACTGTCCATCTCTCTCCACCAGAACACGGGGAAGGGATTCCGTCTATTTCGTCCCCTCAGTGCCCCAGGGCCTAGACGTGCTTGGCAGACAGTAGGAATTCAATATATATTTATAGGATGAATAACGAACAGTTCTCCCTCACCTCTGAAACGCCGCACTGGGATCACACACAGGCTTTATATAGCTTGTCTCTTCTTTTCCCCCAGAGAAAAGGGGGCCTGGGGACAAGTTCAGGGGTTTGCCAGGGATGAACTGCCTGTGGCTGCCCTGGTTGCAAGCCTCCTGGGGTCCCCGAAAGGTGAGGAGATGATGCCTGTGGGGGAGGGGAAAGCCATGCTCCTGGGAAGGTGCGTGCACTATACAGCTTGTTCGCATTTGTGTATTTTTTCTTTCCCTTCATTACGCTAAGCAGACAAGGAATTTCTCCAAGGCCCCAATCATATTATTTCTACAAATCTTTGTTAAGGGCTCATGGCGTGTCAGACTCTGCGTTCTCAAGCAGCCTGGAACATTACAAAGGGAACAGGTAAGTCCTAGGTCAGCCTTGGCTCTCCCGCTAGCTGAGTGACCCTGGACAAAGGCATATTCGTCCCAGAGCCTCAGTTTCCTCCTCTGTAAAACGAGGAGAGTTACACGATCCCTAGCTCTCCCTAGCCCCAGCAGCTGTTAGAATGTAGGAGAGGTAACCCTTGTCCCGGCCCAGTGCCTCAGACATCACAGGCACTCCGTAAATATTGGATTTCGTCATTGCTGCTTCTCCTGTTACACAACGATCGGAGTTGTCTTGAGACAGCTTAGCCAGAAGCAAGGAAAGGTGAGGTCCCACTTCCTTCTCTGCCTCCCCGAGCAAGCTCATTCTGGTGTTTGTGAAGCAGAGAGGATGAAGCGCTCAATTTTGAGTTGGAAAATGTGAACTCCGGCCACCGCCACTCAGCTGGAGGTGGTTTCTGCCCCGCAGTCTCCTCGCCCATAAAAAAGCCAGGCTGGCTTTCTCTCAGCTCTTCAAAGGTCCTCCACGCCTTCCTGCCTCGGGGCCATTTTACGCTGTCCCTTCTGCCCCGAATGTCCTTCGCCCTTTCTTTGCAGGACCAATTTCTGCGGAGTCTTGGGGGAAGCATACACTTGCTTTTTAAAGAGAAGCATTCCCCAGCCACTCTCCCCAGCCCAGGTGCATGCTGATTTCCGTTACTGTAGCACTCCTCCCCATTGCTACCTCGATGACTTACTGTCCACCTCTAGGACTGCCAGCACCACGAAGGCCAGGCCCGTGTCTGTGAACTTCATCCCTCTGCTCCTCCGCGCTTGGCTAAGCGCATGCATGGCACAGAAACAGCCAACAAGCATCCTGACGGCGGGACACGTAAACGAACGCACCAGAGGCTTGGATGCCTCGGGACAGCTTTTTCGTTCACTCAGAGGAAACCTAACCGACACGTGCACGCCAAGATCTTACACGTTTCCAAGAATCGAGGTGCAAGACGGGGGACCTACGTGACACAGAGGTTAGAAAGAGTCATAGAAAACCATGTGAGCCCTAGCTAGCTGGCTTAGCTCAGAGGACAGAGCACTGGCCTGCAGACGGGAGGGTCCCAGGTTCCATTCCGGTCCAGGGCAAGCAGCTCAGTTGCAGGTTTGATCCCCAACCCGGGTCATGGGTGCATGCAGGTCAGGGGTGCATGCGGGAGGCAACATATGGACGTGTCTTTCTCATATGGATGTTACTCTATCTGTCCCTCCCCCTCCCTTCCACTCTCTCTAAAAATCAATGGAAAAGTATCCTCCAGCGAGGATCAATAAAATAAAATATCTTTTTTAAAAAAAAAATAAATAAAATCATTTGAGTTGAACTCTGAAATCTAAAAAAAGAAAAATGAAACGGACATAGTGCACTTCCCCCTAGCCCTCTCTCTCCAGAAGCCAATGATCCCGAAGGAGGAGAAAAACCAGGCTCCCACGGCGAGGAAGTGACCCACCGGTGGCCCGGTCCCTGCATTCAGGATGGAGGAAGTGACTGTCCGCGGCTGAAAGCCAGGAAGTGGGGGGCAGACATCCAGGACCAGCTCCCGCCTCCACTGTTCCCTCCTGCCGCCTGACCCTGGGCGACCCGGGGGCCGCGCCACACAAGCCCCTGGTGCAGGGGGACGGAGGGGGGGCAGGAAGCCGCAGGGTGGTGTGTGCGGGGACCGAGGGAGGGGGGGCAGGCGGCGCTGCAGGCCCAGCTACCCCTTCACCCTTCACCCCTGCAAACTCTTCCCTCCAGGAGGCGCTTGGCCACATGTCTTCGGCTAAGGGAGAACCCCGAGCCTCAGGGGGACCCCTTCCCGCCAATCTGCGCCTTAAGCCCCAAGGGGAGCCCCACTCCCCTGTTTCCTGCCAGGAGCCCAGCCTCAGTTTGGAGCTCCTCCATTTCCCACAGAAAACCCAGACCCCGGGGTAACTTCCCACCCCCTCTTAACTGCCCCGAACCCCCAGATTCCCGTGCTCCCCACACCCCAAACCCCACACCCCACAACACCTCCCTCCTCGGGACCCAGGCCCCGCGGCTTCCTCTGAAAGGTGTGAACTTGGGGATCTGCGGGCGCGAAGTGCAGCTAAAAGCTGGCCCCCCGCGGAGCCAGCACCCCCCCTCCCTCTCCTCCCGGGGTCCCCCACGCGCCCGCCCGCCCGCCCCGGGGCGCCCTCCGCCTCCAGCGCCCCAAGTCCCGGTCCCTCCACCTCCGGGTTTTCGGGGAGCGCTGCGCTCGCTCCCCCAATCCTCCCGCTCGCATGGGGGTCCCCTCAGCCCGAACCCCCGAGAGGCCGCCGGCACCCCTCAGGCGCCCGGGCCCGGCCTCCGCGGGGAGAGAGGCGGGCCGGATGGCGCGGCCCTGCTTACCCGCCGGCGCGGCCATGGTCCCGGGGCGGAAGCGCGGAGGAAGGGGCGGGGGCCGCGGCGGCTCCTCGGGCGCCCGCTGTCGCCTCAGGCGCGGGAGGACCTTGGCCCCGGGCGCGAGCAGGATGCACCGCCTACGGCGCCCCGGGAGGACCAAACCGCACCTGGCCCCCGGGCCCGCCCGCCGACGCCCCGCCCCTCGTTGACCCCGCCCACTCTGACCCCGCCCCGTAAAGGCCCCGCCTCACACTGGCCCCGCCCCTCGCTGGCCCTGGCCCCTGGCTCAGAGGCGGTCCTAGCGCCCCCTAGTGCGAGTGGGTCCCTCCGTGGCTGCCGGAGCTGGTAAAGATGATGCAGCGCGGGAGGACTCAAAAGAGAACGCGGCCCATTTCACAGATGGGGACTGCTGAGGGCCAGAGGATACCATCGTTTTCCGATTACCTCGAAATGGCACAGCTGGGTTGGGAACCCAGGTCTCCTGGCTATCAAGCACTCCTGGAATCAAGAATAGGAATATGGAGAAAACATAGGGCTACCCCATAAACTAGCTTTGGGGGAGAGGGGTGAAGCGTGGAGGCTTCCTTTAGAAGCTTCCAGCTCAAAGAAGCCACTTCTCTGCGCCACTGTGGATAAACAGACGCCCAGTAGATATTGGGGGTCAGGTCCTTAGCCAGGGTCAGGTCCTTAGCCAGACCAAAGAGGGATGTAAATGAACTCAGCACATCCCAGCTTCCCATTTTTTTTTTCCAAGATAAACTAAAAATCCAGATGTTTCGGTGACGTTTTCCACTTTTTTAAGACGTTGGGAACATGAAGTTCTAACAATGCCATGTAGGCCAAAGGAAACACACCTGTCTCCTGGGTCTGTCCTGCAGGTTCCTCTTTATGGAGGAGAGAGCACTGGACCAGGAGTTAGGACAGCAGGCCAGCTTCTGGCAGCTGCTAGCTGGCTGAGGGCCCCTGAGAGCCACTGAGCCACGCCACTGATCAACTTGAGAACGATGAGGTCAAAGTGTGAGAGGGAGAAAAGAGCTCCATGCTGAGGGATGACCGGTAGCTCTAGTGTGCTGGGAAGCCTGAGGCTGGGCTGAGTTTGTGACCTTACCATCTTCCCTCTCCCGTTCTGCTGAGGAGCGGTACCCCCTGCTGGGCAGGCAGACCACCTGCCCTGTCCCAGAGCACGCAGAAAGCTGCTGACAGTGGGCCATGTCTGTCCTCCAGCTCTGCTGGGCCACAAGCTATGCTGTGTGTGGCAACCTGCGAGCTTAGGGACTCCACATACTTGTCAGGACCAGTGCTGCCTGTCAGACAGGCCACCCCTGGGGCAGGACTACAGAGGAGGCCAGGCCTCCTGCCTACATGGCCGTTTGAAGACTTCTGTCTTCAGTGTGATGCTCCCAAAGACACGCAGGTGCTTTCCGGGGGCCAGACCAGTGTGACCACTCCCTAACCCACCCCCCTGACCCCAGGTCCCAGATAAGCAGCCCACAGCTCGCAGTAATGTAAAACCATTTAATTCTAAATCAAATCACTTTCACAACAGTGAAAATTAGCAGCTGGTCAGGGTGTGCCGCTGTACATGGTATCATTTTCTGTCTGTGGTTGGGACCTGGTCCTGATCCACAAAGGCGGCAGGAGCAGTAGAGGCTAAGAACATAAAAACACACACACAAAAGAAAGGAAGACGGCCTTAGGGGGGGGAGGGGGAGCCTGCAGGGGGTTGTGGGAAGGGGGCTCCCTATCAGGGCTGGGCCAGCAGTCCCAAATGGGCTCTCCTGCCCCAGCTCCTGGCAGAGGCTGAGTGGGGACCTATAAGACTAAAAGCCAAAGGGCAGGTAGCCAACTGGCTTTGCTAACAGGTTCCTGGGATACCTTTGCTGGGAGAGCTTTTCTCGGCTCACTTCCTTTAAGAGTCCGAGTGATTATAGCTTTGCCGGGAGTGCTTTCCTGACTCGCTCCGTTTCCTCAAAGAGTCCAAGTGATTCACCTTCCTTCCCACATCCCTTCCTGAACCTTGCTTCTGGAAACCCACTTCGGTTGGGGCCAACAGATTGGCGTCCTCTCCCCGACCACTAGGTGGAGACACTACCCTGAGGAATCCCGCCGGCCCTCTCCAGCTGAGAAACTCTCTCGGGGCACCTTCCACTTTGGGGATTTCTAGGTGACAAAAAAGAGCACTATTGAGCGAGTGCCACCCAAGGTATTGAAAATCCACGAGGCACACGGGAAAGCTGGTGGCTTCTTCTTATCAAATGGATTCAGCAAATGAATCACTTGTTCAATACTTGTATTTTGACTTTTAACACTGAACTCTGGCATTGACGGGTTACGAGGAGAAAGGGGGGGGGGGGCTGTGGCTCCCCATCCTGGATAAGGTCCTGGTTTCCGTATGCTATGCAGCGCCAGACCCGGGGGGGAAACATCAGGTGGGGCTATTGCTGGAGGGAAGCCGGGAGCACGGTGGCCCCTGAGGAGGCCATCTCCTCCCTGCCTCAGGGATCTCTGGAATAGACTAGATTTCTAGGGAGAGGCCCGACAGACTATTCCACCAAGTGAACCGTCTTCTTGCCCGGCACCACGCTCCCTCCATCGGATGCGGAGAAAGCAGCGTGTGAAGCTGAAGGACAAACCAAGGGCTTGGGCAGCATGACCGCCACAGAGGCCACACCGCGGACCGCTGCGCTGAGGCTCCCCAGGCCCCTGCCCGGCTTTAACCCATCACCGGCTGCCTGTCCTGGAGCCACGGCTTCCCTGGCTTTAGCACATATCCAAGGTGTCCCCCGATCCACTCCTGCCTCTTCACGAAGGACAACGTGGCGGATGGTCTTCACCGTGCAGCGGGGCTGACGTGACAAACCCATGTCCTTCGGGCAGGTCTGGGAGGGGGTGCCGGGGAGCTTCTGTGGCCGTGGGGACAGGGCTGCCGCGCGGCTGTCCCTGCATCCGAGTCTGAATCCCGCTGCGGTCCCGACTGCAGGTCCTTCCTCCGCCAGCAGCAGAGGAGCAGGTGTGTGGTTTGGGGGGAAAGGTGACGAGACATCTGTGAGTGAAGACACGTCTCCCAGGATGATCTGTGCCAAACGACGACGAGGTCATTCAAGCCGCTCTCTGGAGCCAAAGACGCCGAGGGTGGCCAGAGCCAATAAAAGATCTCTGGGTCTCTGGTGAGTTCATGATGCGCCTCCGGCTTCGGCTGCTGCAATTAGGATCTTTATAGGACAGCGATTTCTGCATCTCTGCTGAGGAGGGAGAGGGAGGAGGAAATGGGGCAGAGCAGCACTGAGGTCTGAAAGGGGAGCCTCTCTCCTGAGGACCCCCACTGACTGCAGAGGCCGTTTACTGGAAACAAGGGGTATTTAATGAGACGGAAGGAGGTTTCCACGATTAACATGGGGTTCATCCCTTTGTTCTTATAAGATTAAGCTCAGGTGAGGTTGTACCCCCAGTTTCTCTCTTCTGCTTCTTCCCTGTGCAGACAGGAGCTACTGAGCTGGCTGGAACAGGATTTCATGTTGTAACCCAGGAGAGACGGGGAGGTGCCCAGGCCTGAGGTTATGGCAGAGTGTTTATGGCCGTGGCCACACTCCAAGGTTCTCGACAACAGTCTTGAGTCCTAAAGCTCCGATGGAGAAGCAAGATGCCTTGATGTGTTACTGAGTCCACTGAGTCCAGGGCTCGCGTTTCTCCAGGAAGCCGAACATCCAGAGTGGGGGCGGTGTGGCACCAGTCCAGAGGCCCTGCCATGGACGGAGGCCGGGAGCCCAGCATTAGGCAATGAGGAGCCAGAACATGATCACCAGGGCCACAAACAGGAAGAGGCGGGACAGGAACTGCTCATCCACGTACTGGGGCGTCCCGGGGACAGCTGGAGGGAGACAGGAGGGAGAGGAGGCTGTTAGCGCTGCAGCTGTGCACACGGCCCATTTGGGACAGAAGTCGAGAAGCATCAACCTTCATCTCTTTACAACAAAACCCAACAAGACTTGCACACCAACAAGACTTGCACACCAACAAGACTTCCAAACCCCAAATAATGTCAGGCAGAACAAAACTGGAATTGTGAAAGTAGGTGGAATAACAATAGGGACCAGATCTCCACTGTACCCTAAAGGGTTTGGCCTACAGGCACAATAAGTGGGGAAACTCTTGGAGGGAATAACAGAAGGAGAGCTATGTTTGTTAGGCACCTTCTGTGCGCTCAGTGCTTGTACACACATTATTACTTGGGGAGTACTATTCCCATTTTCTGTAGGAAGAAATCAAAGTTGGTGGTGAGCACATAATACAACATACAGATGCTGTATTATACAATTGCATACCTGAAACCTATATAATGTTATTGACCAATGTCACCCCAATAAATTCAATTAAAAAAGGAAGAAACCGAAGCACTGCCTCCCGAGTCACCGAGTCTCTAGGTTCTGGCCCCGCTGAACCGGGAGGGTCCAGAGAGCCCCGCGTGAGGGCCTTCCTTTCCCGAGGAGAGCGAGGGCCCAGCAGGCAAATGACCCATTTCCCTCACCGCCTGGCGACCTAGGGGAGCAGCGGGCTGAGGGCTTGGGCTTCCCTCCTCGCTGTTTTGAGAAAAGCTGCTTTGTACAGCTCCCGGTCCTGACTATCAGGAAGAGAGCTAAGAGCACCTCACCCCAATGGGCAAGTGTATCAGGATCAGAGAAAACTGTCTGCTTATGGCAGGAGGATCCAGAGTCCAGCCTGTCTTCCTCGGGAACCCGAGGCGAACCTTGGACCAGGCTGGAAGGAAGCAAGCTACCAGGCAGGCACCTGCCGCCATCACCGGGCCCTGCCCTTCAGGGTCTCCTTCCTCATGGTCTCTCGGTGCTGTCCTCTTCTCCAATGAGGTGCTCTGATGGACTCGTGCAGTCAGCAAAGACTCGGTGACTGCCTGGTACGCACCAGGGTGAGGGCAGGGGACAACGGGGATGGCCCAGGAGTGGGTTACTGCCCCTAGAGCATAAGCTCCTGGCAGGAAGTATGCTCTCGTCCCCACAGTGCCTAGCA